ATTATAACTGCCCCATGGAACTATTTTCAAAATTTTTCCCTTACTTCAAAACAACGAATCACCTGGTTCCTAGTGTCTTTGGGTGTGTCCTTTGTTCATATTCATTCAAATAACTGTTGGAAACTTGATCCAAGGAATCTTAAGTGTGTTTTTGTTGTATATTCTTGTACATAGAAAGGGTACAAGTGTCATCATTCTCCAACAAAACAATTCTCTGTCTCTGCAGATGTAACATTCGTTGAAACGGAGAATTACTTTCCAAATCCTTATCTTTAGGGGGAGACATCATTTATGAAAGATAAGGATAGAGATTTGTTTTTACTTGATCTTTCATCCTTCTCCTCACAAAATCAAAATCCACCGTCATCCATCTCCATTCCTTTACCAAATGAGTCAGACCCAAGTATTTCGAGCGCAACGAAAAAAGATAAACAGATTCATAGTGCTACTCGCCCATTGCAGGTATATTCGAGGAGGAAAGAACCACTTGTTCAACTAATGCAGGTTCTTGATTCAAAACCAAACTTTGGTACTGATTATGTTGAGGTAACTCCTAATTCTAAAGATTATACAAAGTAATGTGTCAGTTGTTGATGTTGATCTCCCTATTGCGATTAGAAAAGGTGTTAGGAAGTGTATTCACTAGCTGTTATATCCCGTTTTCTCACTTTGTGTCCTATGAAAAACTGTCTAGTGGACAATAAGTTTTCTTATCCACCTCAACACTTTTACTATCCCAAAAACTGTCTCTGAAGCATTAGGAAGTAAAGAGTGGAATGAAGCAATGAAGGTTGAAATGGATGCACTTGAGAATAACAAAACATAGGACTTGGTGGAATTGTCTCAAGGAAAGAAGCTAGTGGGATGTAAATGGGTCTTCACTGTGAAATATGAGGCAGACGGATCATTGAACGATACAAGGCAAGGTTAGCATGGTATAGATTATCTTGAAACATTTGCTCCTATTGCAAAAATGAATACTGTAAGAATCCTATTATTTTTAGCAGCTAATTGTGGTTAGAGTTTGTAGCAATTTGACATAAAGAACACCTTTTTACATGATGATCTTGATGAAAAAATCTATATGGAGGTTCTTCCAAGATATGAGTCAGAAAAGCATAAGGTGTGAAAATTAAAAAAGGCACTTTATGACTTCAAAAAGTCTCCTAGGGCATAGTTTAGTAGGTTTGCTAGAGTATTGAAAGCTTTGGGTTACAAAGAAAGTCAGGGTGATCACATATTGTTTATTGGACATTTTGCTTCAAGGAGAGTTACATCTCTATTAGTCTATGTGGATGATATAATAGTAACAAGAGATGACTTGCAAGGAATGGAAGTGCTGAACAAGTGTTTATTACAAGAGTTTGAGGTCAAAGAACTTGGTAGGTTAAAATACTTCCTCGGCATTGAAGTGGCTCACTCTCGACATGGGATCTTTATATCCCAATAGAAGTATGTACAAGATTTATTAAATGAGACTAGTAAACTAGGGTGTAAACCAGTGGAGATACCCATTGAACAGAATCACAAACTCTATAAAGCTCTTGAAAATGCGGTGGTGGATAGAGAATCCTATCAGTGATTAGTTGGCAAACTAATCTGTCTGTCTCATACGAGACCAAACATAGCCTATGCTGTAGGAGTGGTGAGTCGATTTATGCACTACCCAAAAGAAGTACATCTTTAAGCAGCACATCAAATTCTATAGGACTTAAAAGGTATTCCAGGAAAGAGAGTATTATTTAGAAGAGGCAATGAATCAACATTGGAAGCATACACATGCAGATTATGCCGGATCAGTTGATGATAGAAGATTGACTTCAGGCTATTGTACACTCCTTGGAGGCAACCTTGTAACGTGGAGAAGCAAGAAGCAGAATGTAGCTGCAAGGTTAAGCACAAAAGTTGAGTTCAGAGCTATGGCATTGGGAGTTCGTGAGCTTCTATGGCTGAAAATAATTTTGGAAGACTTGAAGGTTGCGTGGAAAGGACCAATGAAGCTATATTGTGATAACAAGTTAACAATTAATATTGCACATAACCCTGTGCAACATGAATGCGCCAAGCATGTGAAGTGGATAGGCATTTTATAAAGGAGAAGTTGGAAAGTGGACTGATTTGTATCCTATTTGTGTCAACTGAGCGTCAACTTGCAGATGTGTTAACTAAAGGATTGAATGGTTCTGCGTTTCAGTCTATTGTTAGCAAGCTAGGAATGGAGAATATCCACTTACTAGCTTGAGGGGGAGTGTTTGAATCGGTTATTATGGTATGAATAGGCTGTGAAGATTTGATAGCTCAGTAGATGGGAAAAATGTCTATTACAGTTATGTATATGTGTGTATATGTCATATAATTAGAATGTTAATATCCCTGATATATGGGGATTAGGTCTTAGGAGAGTTTCTACCTTAGTTTTTTTCCTATATATTTATGTACATTTTTTGGTTGAATATTAACAAGAGATTTCTCATATTCTGTCACTTACGAATGAAACGAAAGGGTCTAGTGGCTCTAGTATAAAGTAACCTTGTGTTATCTCTTACTACTATGTTTAAACACACGCATCTCTCTCCCATAGCACCCATAGCCAAGTACAATTTTATCATATAGTCATGGCTAATCAAGTCACATGTGGCTACCATCCATACATGGGACATCCCACCAAATATGCTCAAGGTAGTCACCCATTTGAACTGGGAGGCACCACCACATGAGTGGTTACAAAGTCTTACCTATCCCAGCAAAACTTAAATGGCTAAGAATGTGGCTCAAAACTACAACTGCATCATAGGAGGATTTAATTTTGAGGCCACATTCGTGGAACTCCCACTATCAATGACAACCTTATAAAACTTGTCCAAACGTTTCACAAATTTATGGAGAACTATTGTTGTGTTTCCAAGCATCTTTCTCCGAACGAGTGGATGAATTGCAACTCAACTATACATGGGATAATTACCTGGGCACTATGAAGCATGAATACTTTTAAAAGGGCGACGTATCCGTATCGTGTTTGTATCAAATACCAATATTCTTTGGAAACTCGCGGATATGTATTAGATACTTTTTAGAAGTTTTATTAGATACTTCATTAATTTTGAAGTATTGGATACTCCAAGTCACGTATTATTTTTTTACGACTTGTAGCATTTTTTGCATAGCATCATAATATAATATAATTGCAAGGATAAATACAAGAACATTTTTTCAATACTTTGCTTAGTTCTTTTATAAGAAGAATGTATTCATATTGTATTATGCAGGATCCCCTATACCTATATAGAAAGTAAGGATTAACAAGAGAACATGACAATAGTAAAATTAATTATCAATAAATAAATAAGTAAACTTGCATATAACGTTTTTGACTAGCACAAAAGGGAAAAACAAAGAGACAAGTCGTGGATTGTTTTGCTATTGTAATATAAATATTTTAGTCTTAATAATGGAATTAAATATTTGCAAGACCTATTGAAAATTAAAAAAGTAAACTGGTTACTGGCTGAATTAATACTGATTTCTTAAATATTAGTATTTTGTATTATAAAACTTCTTGTGGTTCTCAACATTCTTGAGCTCATGTATCTCTCCCCTATAGGTAAGCATGACTTTATCATATAGTCAAGGGTAATCAATCAACATGTGGGTAATATCCCACAAAATATGCTGAAGGTAGTCACCCACATGATTTGGGATTAGGCCCGTCTATTTGAGCAGTAACGAAGTCTTATCTACCCAAGTAAACTTAAATGGCCAAGGATGTGGCTCAAACTACAACTTTATCCCAGGAAAAGCTGATTTTGAGGCCACATTCATGGAACTCCTACCATCGTTGATGATCTTATAAACCCTGTCCCAACATTTCACAAATTTATGAAGAACTATTGCTGTGTTTCCAAGCATCTTTCTCCAAAGGATTGGATGAGTTGTACCTCATGACAGTAATGTAAGAATGGTCATATTTTAAGATTGTAAGGATTCATTTGAATGGTCAATTACCTGGTCAACATCCTCGACTACAGTTTTTCCCAACTCACGGTCAATTGTCAATGTGCAATGGGGATAAGAGGATGCAATGTGACTTGTACTATGGATGATGACACTCAATGGTGGAGCCCATGCTAATAGGAATTAGAGAAAAGGTATTGCTTACCCAAATCTGGACGTGACTCTCCCTAATAGCAGTAACCTGGATCTCAAGGTTTCTTGGGAATGGGAAGACAACCCCAACTTGTAAACCTTGTAGAACCATGGGTTTGACTTCATCTAATGGTTTGCCCAAAACTAGCTGTGACAAGTGGATCATTCTTTTTGAAGGTTTGGAGGTGGACCTAGTTTGTGCATAGAGGGTATAGGCCAATTTCTAGGAAATATGATTAATTAAAAATTCCGGAGAATATATATGTGAATTGTGTAATTAATTAGACCACACAAATCACATAAACAGATCGAGACATGCGCCATGTGTGGAAATCCTTGAAGACAACAATTCTCAAGGTAAAACCAGACACCTTGATGATAAAATTTATTAACTATATTGTATCCATGTCGTATCTTGTGACCGGACTCCAACATCTTAGCTGTGGGCCCACCGTCTCTGTTTATACGCCTGTCACCCTCTCAAAAAAATCCAAAAAAAAAAGGAAAAATCTTTTATGTGTCTGTTGATATATACGACTTCACAGACACATTATATATGTTTTTATAAAATTTATTTGAAGTGGAAAGTAGCTGATGTACTTTGTTTGCTGAGTTGTGATTCCTTTCTTTTATGTGTTAATCCCAGGAAAAACATTATGGCCACTTACTTTTGAGTTTTGTTGTACTTTATGTGTTTCACCTGATGTTTCTAATGCTTCTTGAATCTGCCCCTTTTTGTCTTCAGTGAGTCTTTTCCTTTCTTTATATGGAGTGAAACTCGCTTTTTCTAAGTGTTGCTTATTTGATAATATTGGATGATCATTTCTGTTAGTGATTGTTTTTCTGGTTTTCTGCAGAAAGCACCTTCTTCCCATTTGTTGAGAGAACATATCTCAAATTACAGATTGTTAAATTTTATATTTTCCAATGGGGGATGCTGAAAATACCCTCCCACCTTCAAAGAAGAGGGCTGCTGGAAGGGAACTATCTCGAGATAACCCTGGTCTTGACGATGACGAAGACTCTTCTGAACTAGAGACTGGGACTTTCAAGAGGGCTAGTGATGAAGTGCTGGCAGGTCGAAAAATTGTCAAAATTCGTCGGAATCAGACATCATCAACCCCTTCTTCTAATCCTTTTGCTGCGATTCGCTTGGTTCCTTCGACCGATTCCAGCTCTACTGCATCGGAAGCTACTAGTAAAATAGAAATTGAGAAAACAGTTTCTGAAAAGGTTGATGTGAATGAGGAAACTGACAAGGTCAAAGATGATAATGATAAGCAGACAGAAAACAAGGCTGATGAGGCAGGGGTGGAGTCTGTTGCAGATGAGAAGAAAATTGATGCGGTTAATGAGGGAAGCAAACCTGAATCAGCAGATGAGAAGTTAACAGAAGAGGATAAAACTGAGAATGAAGATAACAAAGACACTGAGGCTGAGAACAAGGATGAGAAAAGTAACGGTAATGAAAATATAGAAAAAGGTGCAGAATCTGCATCGGTGAGCTCGTTCCAGCAACTTTCGAGCAGCCAAAACGCCTTCACAGGATTTTCCGGAACTGGTTTTTCCAGTTCTACCTTCTCATTTGGGTCGATCCCGAAAGATGGATCTCCGCTAGGTTCTGGTTCTTTTGGTTTCAGTCTTTCAAATAATGGAAATTCTTCCCTCTTTGGCACATCAGGGGCTTCAACTGTTACTAAGAGCGAAGGAAGTGGATTCCCATCTATGCAGGAGGTTCAGGTTGAGACCGGGGAAGAGAATGAGAAGGCTGTTTTTACAGCTGATTCTGTGCTTTTCGAGTTTGCTGAAGGCGGATGGAAGGAGAGAGGGAAGGGAGAACTCAAGGTGAATGTCTCGGCAACCAGGACTGGGAAAGCGAGACTCATAATGAGAGCTAGAGGAAACTATAGGTTGATTTTAAATGCGAGCTTGTACCCAGATATGAAGCTGACAAATATGGAGAAGAGAGGAATCACGTTTGCATGCATGAATAGTACAGGTGAAGGGAAGGATGGCCTTTCGACATTTGCTTTGAAGTTTAAGGATGGTTCGATAGTCGAAGATTTCCGTGCAGCTGTTACTGAACACAAAGGCAAAACATCTGCTGTTCTTAAGACACCGGAAAATTCTCCCTAAGGTGTCAGGCGATTAAAATAATCCAAAAAATTAGTGGTCGGAGAACTCTATTTTAGTGTCGTAATGGTATTTCTGACGTCTGTTTTTCCTTTTCTCCGGGGAGGGAGAAAATGGATGAAGAATCTTGTTTAGAGTTTGGTAATTTGTAAGGCCCTATGTAGCAGAGTTGTTAGAGTCCTATCCGTTTTGTTGATTTTATCGAGTAGACTTTTGACTTGTCAAATTCTGGGTAAATTCTGAGTTCGGACATTTTGCAGTTGTCCTATCAATCTTGAGTTATACAGCGAATTGCAATCTTGCAGGTTGAATGTATGATTTTGTTTGGGGGCATTTCCATAAATAAGCCAAAATAGTAAGTCAATTTTCAAACTAAGCCTAGTTTTGAAAGAATTATCAAAATAGGCTAAATCGCGGTTGTGAACCACGATTTCAACACATATACGCCTCTCTCGCGCGGGAGGCGGGAAATCTTAAAATCGTGGTTACAAAACGCGCTTTTGATTAAGAAATTGCGGTTACAAAAAGCGTTTTTAATTAATTTTTTTTTCTTCTGAACTCGCTGTTCCAAACTACGATTTTAACCAAATTTTTTTTTTTCTAAACTCGTTCCTAACCACGATTTTATCAAAAAATATTTTTCTTCTGAACTCGGTTTTCCTAACCACGATTTTATCAATTTTTTTTTTTCTTTTGAACTTGCTTTTCCTAATCACGATTTTATCAAAAAACATTTTTCTTTTGAACTCGCTCTTTCGAACCACGCTTTTTGGCCAAAATTTTTTTCTTCTGAAATCGTGATTATGAACCACGCTTTTAGCGTAAATTTTTTTTTTTGATTTTTTTGTTGTTTCTGTTGTCATTGTTTTGGTGATAATGTATTTCAGAATAATTTTTTGGGTTACAATTGTTTTACTAAAATTGTTCTCATGTTAATTTTTTTTTCTTTTCTTTTGTCTTTATTTTGGGTTAGAATGTGTAATTCAGCATTTTTTTTTGGCTTGACTAAAGTAAATTTATTTTGTTTTTTCTTGTGTTTGTTTTGGGTTAGAAGGTAATAATGTAATTCATAAATTTTTTGAGCTTTAGTAAAGCCGTTTTGATGTAAATTTTTATTTTATTTTATTTTTTCTTTGTTTTGGGTTAGAAGGTGCTCTTCAGTAATTTGTTTGGGCTTTAATAAAGCCGTTTTCATTTAAATATATATATTTTTTCTTTTGTCTTTGTTTTGGGTTAGAAGGTGATAAGGTAATTCATAAATTTCTTTTCGTTTTACTAAAGCCATTTTCATGTAAAGTTTTTTTATTTTTTATTTTTTTCTTTTTTCTTTGTTTTGGGTTAGAATGCGTTATTCAGAAATTTGTTTTGGCTTTACTAAAGCCGTTTTCATGTAAATAATTTTTTTTTTCCTGTTGTCTTTGTTTTGAGTTAGAAGGTGATAATGTAATTCATAAAACCTTGAGGAAAAAACACATAACTCTCCCACAAAAATACATAGGTAGTACAGACATAAGTCTCGAACAACAATACATTGTGGACACCATGAACTGAGCACACAATACATAGATAAACATAACAGTTAGACAGACAAATATTAGCTAGACAATCTGACAAACTTATTACGGAAACACTTACTCTAACACAGATATTACATATTAATGCATGACCTAATATTGCCGAAGTGTAGACATTAACACCTAATTCGCGCTTAAATCGGCAGGTGGCTCAGAGTCTGAATAATCCGAAAGCTCAGCGCCAGAGACAAGTTTACAATCCTCCATGATACCCTTGATAGCCGCAACATTTGGTTCTGTTCTGTTCTTCTGGGCATCCTTCTTAACTATGTGTAGCTGCATATCGCGGGCTAACCTACGGCCCATTTGAGAAATCTCACATTATAGTCTTTCACATAGTCGATCAACATTATCAGGATCTTCCTTTTGGATCTCAACAGAATGTGCTTTTGGCACCTTCAGTCGATTTTTCAGACATAATCTTTCCATTTGCACTCGCTCTATAAATAGTGCGGGCTACTTCAGAAGTCTAGCATCTGCAAAACCATATCCTGTTTGATTATCTGATGGATCCTCCACCAAACCACATGGATCTCGATAGTACTTGGGCATGACAAAATGTCGCTTCCCAAACCTATCATGATAAGCACAAGAGGCATCTAACAAAGGAAATGGTGTTTCATCTTAAGCATCGCCACTTCCTCTTCCCCCTTCTCGTCGTGAACTGTCACCCCTTTGCAAGTTCCTACCACCTCTGCGATTCTCACTCCCTCCCATGAACCATGTAGCCATGCTAATTTTTTAAAACAAATGAATGATAATTTCGTAAGGCGAAATGAGTTGTAAGGTTGTGTCTTCACCTTTAGTTGTTTATATAGTTGGTTATGAATGGCTTTAGAAAGATGCCTCTGCATGACAATCCCACATATACGAACAAGGTATGAGTTGTCACTAGAATGAAAAAACAGAGTAAAGCAAATACTGTGTACCAAGTCACGTGACTTGACAATCCATCTGCATGTACTGACAAAGTAAGGGCATGCTCACTGTAAGGTAAATCAGTGAATTCACTGTTGTCATGTGACTTTCTGAATTGAGAATTCCACACATATCAATAAGAGATGAGTTGTCATTGTAATAAAAAAATTGAGCAAAAAATTGAGAAAACCAAAGCCTGTGCACCAAGTCACATGACTTGACAATCCATCTGCATATAGGGACAAAATAAGGGCATGCTCACTGTAAGGTAAATCAGTGAATTCAGTGTTGGCATGTGACTTTCTGAATTGAGAATCCCACATATATCAAATTGGTGTTGAGGTAAATCTGTTTGTGTATAATTAATTGTAAATAGTGATTTTGACAAGCAAATCAAGTAAAACTAATTGGGTTTTAAATTTAGTTCCCCAACTGGACCAACCACTTGGTTTTGAGCTTGTTTGTCCAGCCCCCCAAGTTTAGTTATCTGTCAACCCCCCATTCCTTACCGCAGTCATCATTTTGACTGGACTTCCAGGAATTGGAAGGCGACTCTTTCTTCTTTCCCGATGGAGATTGAAATTCTTTACGTACAGGATCCCTATTTCACGAGCCCTAGTTAAGGGAAGCTTTTCACCGAGCTACCTTTTCTGTTTTATGTGTTATTCAAGGCGGTAGTTCGTTTGTATGAACTTTATTTAGTTCCCCAACTGGACCAACCACTTGGCTTTGAGCTTGTTTGTCCAGCCCCTCAAGTTTAGTTATCTGTCAACCCCCCCATTCCTTACCACAGGCATCATTTTGACTGGACTTCCAAGAATTGGAAGGCGACTCTTTCTTCTTTCCCGATGGAGATTGAAACTCTTTACGTACAGGATCCCTATTTCACGAGCCCCAGTTAAGGGAAGCTTTTCACCGAGCTACCTGTTCTGTTTTATGTGTTGTTTAAGGCGGTAGTTCGTTTGTATGAACTTTATTTAGTTCCCCAACGGGACCAACTACTTGGCTTTGAGCTTGTTTGTCCAGCCCCCCAAGTTTAGTTATTTGTCAACCCCCCCATTCCTTCACACAGTCATCATTTTGACTGGACTTCCAGGAATTAGTAGGCGACTCTTTCTTCTTTCCCGATGGAGATTGAAATTCTTTACGTACAGGATCCCTATTTCACGAGCCCCAGTTAAGGGAAGCTTTTCACCGAGTTACCTGTTCTGTTTTATGTGTTGTTCAAGGCGGTAGTTTGTTTGTATGAACTTTATTTAGTTCCCCAACTGGACCAACCACTTGGCGTTGAGCTTGTTTGTCCAGCCCCCCAAGTTTAGTTATCTGTCAACCCCCCATTCCTTACCACAGTCATCATTTTGACTGGACTTCCAGAAATTGGTAGGCGACTCTTTCTTCTTTCCCGATGGAGATTGAAATTCTTTACGTACAGGATTCCTATTCCACGAGCCCCAGTTAAGGGAAGCTTTTTACCGAGCTACCTGTTATGTCTTATGTGTTTTAAGTATTTACATCATTCAACATACATTAATCCATTCATTAATCCAAAACATTCATTAACTCATTGCAATTCAATAAAGAAAGTCATGAACTAATAAATGTGCAGTTATAAATGTAGTTATTTCATAAACTTCAAATTCATAAAACAAATATTTGAAATACATCCGTACGTTAGATGAACAACAACATTGTCTTACACTCCAGTAACGAAGATATGAGACAATATACAAACATATATGACAGATAAAGGTGTTTGATTTCTCATTCCTCATCTGACATGTAGTAGTCAGAGAGATATTTTTCATTGTTTAAGACATTATTTCACTCAACCATTGTCAAATCTCTGTTGCTTGCTTCTGCCATTTCGGTGGCTAGCTGAAGCATGAAATGTCGACATCTCCGCATCAACATTCTATTGTTCTCCTTCTTAATTCTGCTAACTGCTTTTTCATAGTCACTCACATTTCGTCTAGCCATGGTCAATGAACGACGATGAGGTACCGGTGCCCCAAAGTTACGTAGATCATTAAACAATCCTTCTTGCTCCGTTACCCTGAACGCCCATTCTGCTCGGATACCAGCATAATAATCCTTCGGACTCGAGTACTTTT